GTCCGTCTGTCCGTCTGTCCGTATGTATGAACGCGTCGATTTCAGAAGATATAAGAGCTAGAGACTTCAAATTTTTTTTTAAATGTCCGTAATTACAGCGCGCATATATCTTCAATAAACCAACAACTGTGTCGTCAACCATCAATATTTAAAGAGAAATACATGGTGGCATAATGGCAGAAATCAGAACCAATAAAGAGTTCATGAAAGTCGAAGTTGCCGACCACGCTATAGACACAAACCAACTTTATAGTTGGGAAACGAGACCGGAAACATCAAAGCAAAAGATGTTTTCATTTGGTTGGTCGAGCCCAATGGAGGAGTTGGTAAACCTTGTGGACCAAAGAGCTCAAAGAGTAAGGCTGCACATTAAAGAGGTGCTTGCCAACATTGAGCTCAGCAACCAGGAAGAAATCTTTAGCTACATAGATACGCTAGATTTCCTCTAGAACAAACTCCAGACAACACTAAAAGATTTGGAGGTAAAATATGATAAGCCTGTCTACGAAATCGAGTACATAGACGAACTGGAAGTTAAAGTGTACACAGTGTCAAAAAAGGAAAATAAGTGCACTGCAAATCGTAAAAGAAAACACTCCAGAGCTACTAAAATCGGATCTTACTCAATATAATGGAAGTCCCAAAGAGTGGCCAACGACATGATCCACAAAAGGACACAAGGAAGCTGAACTACCTGAAATCATGCCTCAAAGAAAATGTCTAAATGGTAGTAAGCCATTTGTTAAGTGGATCATCTTCGGCGTGGGAACTTATATGCAAGCGCTATGAAAATAAGCGCAAGATATTCGCAAACGCCGTTAACCAACTAGTGGACATGGAACTGCTGGGAAACGATGATGAAGGCAGGATCCGCCAATTCTTGGACACAGCAAATGAGAGTAAACAAATCATTAAAGAAGTAGGCCAAATTGGTAACGATGCTGATGTACTAATCGCTCAGATTTTGCTACGAAGATTCTCGACGGAAGTCCTACAACGTTACGAGCAACATGTAAAGAGGGCCAGAGAAATTCAGTCCTTTAAAAATGTAGTCGAGTTTATTGATCAACTACACAATTCAATAGACGCAGTACAGATAATAAGGCCGTCCAGACGCTTATTAAAGCAAAGAGAACGAGCTACAAAAGATGCCGTTTTTGCAACCTGGACACCCACGAAATTACCAGGTGTTCAAAATTTAAAGCAGAGCCAGTTAAAAAAAGCAAGGAATTTGTAACTAAAAGTGCTTTATGTTTTAAATGCCTAGGTTCCTATAGCATGAAAGAGTGCCAAAAGGATTGGTCATGCAAGTATTGTGCCAAATCTGCTTTACGAGGATGCGAACGAAAACGAGACCTTCTGCAGCAATTGTCTCAAAGAAAGCAACGGACAAGATACGTTGTTGGCAACTGCGCTTATTCGGATTAAAAACAAATCCGGAAAATACGAGCAGGGCCCTCATCGATGGAGGCTCGCAAATGACATTGGTATCTGAAGAGGCCGCTCAACGACTACAACTGCGCCGAATCAAATTTCACAAAATGTTGAAGTTCTATAAAACAGGATTTGCTTGACAATCAAACCAAGGATGACAAGCAAATTCGTAATTACAACGGAGGCACTTGTTATGACAAAACTGCAAAGAGCTCTACCGAGCAAGAAAATTAAAATGAACATCAATAAGGATTGGATGAGCTGCAAGCTGGCAGACCCACATTTCAACGAACCTAGTAGAATCGATGTTGTAATTGGCGGTGATCTACTCCACTTAATAATGTTATGAAAAGTTAAAAAAGTCAACGAAATACAAATAACTGAGCTTGGATGGATTGTTTCCGGGAACATAGCTAGAGCAGTAAACAACAAGGTGATCAACGCAACAACGACGATATGGCTAGATAACCTCGAACGATTCTGGAAGCTTGAAAATAACTCAAGCGGTTCAAAAGAGAACAATAAATGGGATGGCGAAGGCCGGCTAGTAGTCTCCATACCATTTAAAAAA